CTGGCAACTTGCTGCACTGATGGACAGTGACTGCATTGGGGTGTGGGTGGGCACTTGGCAATGTGGGTAAATGTAGTAACCACATTGTTTCTTCATGTGAAACCTTCATAAGAGTGTATATCAATCATACCTTACTTAAAAAAAAGAGAAGATTTATACAAGTTTTCCTTGGACTGAGGACCAGAAAAGCTTCTCTCCTGAAAAATCGTTATGCTCCTTTTTATAGATAAGAACCATAATAACTGGTGTTTCTTTTTGGAATTTAGTTCATCAATACTGGTGCTTGAAATCAGTAGTCAATTTTAATGCTCAAGTACAATTATTATCTTATCCTGGCGTTCATGTAGAATTTTCTCTCCATTCCACTTAAACAGTTTCTGAGCTTTCTAATTTAAACATTTCTTTTGTATGTATGTTCTCACTATACACTACCTCAAATCCTTGGTTTTAGATGGGTATGAAGAACAAAAAATAAATAAAACAATGAAACAGAACCTAAAGCCTGCCTGATGAGTAGAAACAGAAACTCTTTCAACCTGTCTCTAGGGTTTATCAAGAGGGAAATTAAAGAGCAGGAAAGAAATCCAATGGTTTGCCTGATAAATGCTCTTTGTCTTGGTGACCAAATCACCTGGGACACCACTGAGCATACTTTTCAACTGAGTGATACCTGAGACAATAATTAGGGACCAATGCTTTTCCATGGGTATTTTTCCTCCTCTTCTCTCTTCCTTCTTGCCCCTTCTTAATTTTTTGTTTTTATCTCAGGTCTTTTGGGAACGTTTAGACACAAGTAGGGTGATACTGTAGCTAACGAAGGGCTACTTATTTGTCAGACAACTACTCAGAGCCACTGCACTATTTGTGCTCCACGTCTCACACAGAAAAGCCACAAGGGACATGTTTAGAGCTTCAGCCTCTACTGAACATGTGAATAATTCATTCAGAACCTATATTGCTGCATGAGTCTTTCGCCTAAGAACTGAAATAAATGCTTCATTACTGGTCAGGTAACATCCCTTAAACTCAAAAACCACCTCAAGATTTAAAACAAAAATTCACCCATTTCTTAACAATAGCTATACAGCACCACAGTTTTAGATTCCAATATACCTACACTTATTTAATACCTCAATTTAAAAAGCCATCAAACTAAACTATATAGCATGTTATATATACTAGTCTATTTGTTTTCAATGTTTTCCTTGTTATATTTTAATTTGGAATAGCAACAGCATAAAAGTTCAGGTTAGAAATGCCTTTATTTATTGACATTCTAAATTTACCAAGTATAAAGGCTTAGATCAAACAGCAAGAAAAGAAGAAAAATATGTTACATTTACTCACCAGGGCTATAACATAAGTATGTTTTGTTTTTTTTTATGGAGACATTTCTTTCTTTTAGGGAAACTTCTAACCAGTCCAAACAACCAATTTTGAGTCTCATCCTTTCTCAGAAGTAAATACATTTTGTAGTAATATATGCTTTCTAAATGTGTGTGCAGCTGAAGGGAATGTGAGAGATGGTTGGGGAGGCTTGCTTTATTTGCTGGTTTCAAATCTTTCTAGCTTTTGAAGAGACCATCTTCAAAAAATTTTTTGCCTGCAGTGCAGATTTTCAGCAGGGTAACTTTATCCTATTTCAAAAGCTTGGCTGAATTTGAAAAACTACAATTACTGTTTTCATCCTGTCATGTCAAAAATTCTTAGGAACTATTGAGGCTGCTCTTCATTCCTTGTGCATGCCAACCGTGACATGCTTAAAGGGCTCAGATTTGGCATTTAGACACAAAAGGCACCAAGAGACATAAAAGGTAAGAATTCAGCTAAATCCTCACATAGCACAGGATAAAGCTTTAGTGATTAAAAAAACTTATGACCTGATTTTCATAAGGTAAAAAAAACACCTCTAAAAAATTTTTCCTAACTTTGAATTTTTTCTTAGCAGGATTATGCCAATGGCAGCCAAGAAAATGCAGCTGTTTTCAGTTTTGTTTAGCCAAAGTGAGCTGGGAATAAGTTAAGGTGTCAGAACTGAGTCTTAAATCAGGTAAAATTGCTCTGCTTTGTAAGATAAAGAATAAAGTTTTATTCTACGTAAGAAAATCATAAATGTTTAATTACAAACACCAAGATATTTTGAATTTTAAGTAAGATTGAGAGAAAAAGTTATGTCCATCAGTGAGCAAAGAACAAGATCAAGATGGATTCTTTGTTGTTCAGGATTCTGAAAGAACAGGCAGACCATAAACCCAACCAGCTTATAATTTTGTTCAAAAAAATATCTTGTCTTCAAAACAATTCATGGAAAAGGAAAACTGGCCCACAAATAAGTCATCATATTACAGTTTCATATACTACATAACTAGAGAAAACTTTTAAATAACCTTTTTACCTTGTTTTACCCAATGAAACAGGCAACTGATTTCTACAAGGCCATGTTAGATCAGTATGGAACCTGGAAATTGTAACTGAATTACCAAAAAAAAAAAAAAAAAAAAAATTACTTGTGAGTCAGTTTTCAAATTTTTCTTGTTGTTCATCAATCCTAAGTAAAAAGAGTAAAAGGAGACCTGACTGGAGATGACTCTTTAAAATAAAGTTGTTATGTTAGCTATATGTGTAAATTAAAATTTTATAGTAAAAAGAACAACTCTGCCCCCAGAACAGCAACTCTGGGGCCAAAACAGATTGCTCAGACAGTTTTTGGTATCCTTACTGACTCAAACAAAATTACCCATATTAAAAAAAGCAATTAAAGTCTCCATTTCTGAAATACAATGAAGACTATCTGAGGGAATTATGCTATAATGTTTGAGTTACTACAGTAAGCATAATAATGCCTCTCCAAAGGTGCCCACATACTAACCTGAAATTTGTAAATATGCAACCTTACATGACAGAGAGACTTTGGCAAATGTGATTAAGGTTAAGGAATTTGAGATAGGGCAATTACCCTGGATTATTTGGATGGGCTCAACCAAATCACAAGTCCTTAAAAGCAGAGAACCTATCCCTGCCATGGCCAGAGAGAGATATGACAAGGGTCAGAGAGATTCAATACTGCTAATGTTGAAGATGGAGAAACAAAGGGGCCACTAGTAAAGAATATGAGTGGCCTTTAAAAGCTACTCTTGATTTTAAAGGCAAGGGAAAAGACTCTTCCCTAGAGCCTTCACAAAGGAACACAACACTGCCAACACCTTGATTTTAGCCCAATGAAACCTATATCAGATTTCTGCCCCACAAAACTATATGATAATAAATTTGTATTGTTTTAAGCCACCAAGCTTATAGCAATGTGTTACAGCAGCACAGAAAACTCATACAGTAGCTTATACTGTTCAACAGAATGAGTACAGAGAATAAAGAGAATTTCCTCTTGGAAAAAATAATGAAATGTCCTGTTAAAAAACAAAATGAGCCTATTGAACTAGTTTAATTTAAGGTACAGACTTTTCATAAAATTTTAAGTATATGCTATAAATTCATTTTAAACCTTTCAGACTATGGTCCAATGTTAAGTGTTATAAATGGCTAAGCCAACAAACCTTAGTCACATGCCACCCAGCTACCTAGTCCAAAAACAAGTCTATGAAACCAAAAAGAAGCCAGAATGGGATGACCACCCTTCCCCATTCCTGCAGATTACTCACTCAATGAATTCCTCTTTACACTGTTGTAGCATCTCACATGTCTGCTGGATCTCTTGCTCACTCAAAAGCACCAACATCCCAATAGTTAGGTGAAGTTTTTTGGGATTCTGGAAAATGGTGCTATCAACCCCATGGTCCTGTTATCAAAGGGAGAAAAACAAGAAGCTCAGCCCATACAAAAGTAAATAGTAGGAATACAATTTAGAGACCAGAAATAAGCCCTCACATCTATGACCAATTGATTTTCAATGGGGGTGGTAAGACAATTTAATAGAGAATGAAGAATCTCTTCAACAAATAATCATAGGAAAACTGAATATCCACATACAAAAGAATTAAGTTGGATCTCTACCTCTTACTATATAAAAATAGTATCAAAATGGATCAGTGACCTAAAATAAAAGCTAAAACCATAAAACTCTTGAAGAAAAACAGGGGAAACTCTTCATGACCTTGGACTTGACAAAAGATTCTTAGATATGCTCAGGCAACAAAAGAAAAAATACATAAATTAGACATCATCAAAATTAAAAACTTCTGTGTATCAAAGGACATTATTAAGGTCACAAGTGAAAAGACAACCTCTAAAATGGCATAAATATTTGCAAATCATATATCTCATAAGGGTCTGGTATCCATAATATACAAAGAACACAACAATTCAACAACTAAAAGATAAAGAACCCAATTTAAAAAACAGAAAACAAACTTGAATAGACATTTCTCCAAAGATATTCTTAGAACCTACATTTAGATGACACTGTTTTTCTTGGGCATGCCATTCTATCAGGCTAGCAGTTCCTTTTTTAAAAAAATGTATTTCATTTTATCAAGGTGAAATTCACATAACATAAACTTAACCATTTTAAAAGGAAAGATTCAGTGGTATTCAGATCTTTTTTTTTTTTTTTAAAGTATATTATTCTTTGAGGAAGCTCTTCACAAAAAACACTGTCTATCTTAGTAGACACTGCAATGTTTTCAGGTAAAACAGTTTGTGTTAAGAATAAATTCTTCTAAGCAAAGAAGTGAGTGAAAAATGAATTGGAGAGCTATCCAGACACTGGAGTTGCAACATCAAAAATGGTCATCCGTTTCTGGCATCATTCTTCCTTAAAACTTCTGTCTTTAGGAAACAAAAAAGGCAAATGTACTCATAAACCACCCCCCCTTTTAAACTGAAGTGAAATTGACTTAACATATGATTAACCATTTTAAAGTGTACAGTTTAGTGTTATTCACTGCATTCACAAAGTTGTGTAACCACCAGCTCTCTTTAGTTTCAAAATTTTTTCACCACCCCACATCCCATTAAATAATCACTTCCCATTCCCCATCTCCTGGTAACCTCTAATTTGCTTTCATACAATATATGGCCTTTGTATCTGGTTTCTGTCACTTAGCATGTTTTCAAAGTTTATCCAAGATATAGACGTACTGGTACCTCATTCCTTTTTATGGCTGAATAATAGTCCACTGCATATATACAACACAATTTGTTTATCCATTTATTCTTTGATAGCCAAATTTGGGTTGTTTGTTTATTTTGGCTATTATGAATGATGCTGCTATAATAAACATTCATGTAAAAGTTTCTGTGTTTGCATGTGTTTTCAGTTCTTTTAGAGATATACATAAGAGTGCAACTGGGAGGTCATATGGTAATTTTATGTTTAACTTTTTGTGGAACCACCAAACTGTTTTCCAAAGCAGCTGAACCATTTCAAATTCCTAGCAGTAATGTTTGAGGTTTCCTATTTCTCCACATACTTAGTATTTCTTTTCTTTGCCAGTACTTGTTATTTTCCTTTTAAAATTTTATTATAGTCATCCTAGTGGTTATGAAGTGGTATCTCATTGTGGTTTTGATTTGCATTTCCCAAATGACCTAATGTTGAACATCTTCTCATGTCCTTGCTGGACATTAATACATCTTCTTTGGGAAAATGTCTATTTGAATCCTTGGCCAATTTTCTGTATTTTTATTCTTAAATTGTAAGAATTCTTTATTCTGATATTAGTCCCATATCAAATCATGAATCCCTTTCAAAAGTAAGTAGCTCTCAAATTTCATTATACTTATTCTACAAATAAAGAAAAAAAAAGTTGAGAATCTTCTCCAACAGCAGCAAAGTAGGAATTCTATTCACTGAATTTCAAGTGCTCACATTACGGGCATCCCTGGACTAATAAACTATCCCAAACACAGAGAGATGTATTTATCAAATGCAGATAGCTCATATCCTGTTTTTGGTTTGCCTGAGACTGCCTAATTTTTGCCTTGGCAACAGGAGTTAATAGATTATTCATTTTGTAAGTGTTAATGGAGCTTGAGCTATTTTTACATCTGAAGAGTTTTGTGATTCTATACATCAACCCAAATTGCCTCATAATGAAAGTAATTTTAAGGAACAATCAGCTTTAAGTGGGTCAAGGAAGGCTAAGTATAATGCTTATCACCCCAGCTGCTCTAACCCATCTCTTTAGAAAGGCATACAAAATATTAAAAAGTCCCCAAATGATTCCAATATGCACAACTCCACCCCAAACTACAGTTCAGAACTGTTCCCCTACCACTAAGAGCTAATAATTTTTGAGCCCTCCCTCTATTCCCAGTACTTCATACGTACTTTATACCAACAAACACTCTAAAGGGAAGCAGTATTATCCACATTTTATAGATAAGGAAACTTAAGCATAGAAATAAAGCCATTTTCCCAAATAACACTTCTAGGAAGGAATGAAGCCAAAATTCAAACCCAGGCAGTCAGGCTCCAAAGCCTACATTTTTTATCAATATTATATTGCCTCTCGAGTAATAGCTGCCCTGAGGGTGCCAGAATAATGTGAACATCACCCAGAGACAAGTCTTCAAGCTTTAAGCATCAGACCCATAACACAATAAATAGGTCTGATCACTAAACTAGTCCTGAAAATAAAGCAAATCTCATAATTCTATGAAAAGTGGTTTTAATATTTGCCTTTTCTTAGATATGACACCAAAAGCATGACCCATAAAAGAAAAAAAATGAATTAATTGGACTTGAACAAAATTTAAAACTTGTACTTCAAAAGACCTCATTAATGAAAAGACAAGCCACAGAGAGAAAAATATTTGCAAATCATATATCTGATTAATATAATAAAAATTCAAAAAGTTCATATAAGAACAAGATATGCAATCCAATTTAAAAATGAGCAAAGGATTTGAATAGACATTTCACCAAAGAAGATTAAGCTAACAAATATGAGAAAAGATGCTCAGTATCATTAGTCATTAAAGAAATGCAAATCAAAACCAAAATGAAATATCTCTTCATACCCACTAGAATGACTATAATCAAGAAGCTAGATGATAACAAGTGTTGGTGAGAATATGGAGAAAATTAACTGCTCATACGTTTCTCGGAGGAATGTAAAATGGTTCAGCCACTTTGGAAAACCATTTGCCAATTTTTCAGAAAGCTATATATTAATTTGTAATACAATACGGTCATCTCACTCCTATGACTCTACTTAATGAAAATATAGGTCCATATAAAGACTTGTAAGCAAATTTCAGATCAGTGTTATTTATAATAGCCAAAGAGTGGACATAATCCAAATCTCCATCAACTGTTTGTAAAAAGATAAACAAAATGTAGTATAACCATACAATGAAATATGGGCAATAAACAGTAATGAACAACTAATACATATAACAATATGGATAAACTTAAAAAGCATTAGTTAAATAAAAGAAGCCAGATGCAAAATACTACATATTATTTGACTCCGGTTACATGAAATGTCCAGAAAAGAAAAACCTATGAAAACTGAATGATTAATGGTTGACTGGGGTTAGAGATGGGACTGCAAACAGGAAGGAGGTTTCTTTTTGGAGCAATGGGAATGTTCTAAAACTGGATTGTGGTAATGACAGCACAACTCTATAAATTTACTAAAAATGACTGAATTGTACACCTTAAAATGGGTGGTTTTTTGGTATGTAAATTATACCTCAACAAAGCTGTTGAACATAAATATGTATGTTTATGCCTTTTCTTTTTTTTTATTTTAGTATCATTAATGTACAATTACTTGAACATTATGGTTACTAGACTCCCCCTATTATCAAGTCTCCCCCCGACATACCCCATTACAGTCACTGTCCATCAGCGTAGTAAGAGGCTATAAAATCATTACTTGTCTTCTCTGTATATACTGCCTGTCCTGTGTCCACCTTCCCCCCCACTACATTATGTGTGCTAATCATAATGACCCTTTTTCTCCCTTTTCCCTCCATTCCCACCTATCCTCCCAGTCCCTTTCCCTTTGGTAACTGTTAGTCCATTCTTGGGTTCTGTGATTCTACTGCTGTTTTGTTCCTTCAGTTTTTCCTTTGTTCTTATACTCCACATATGAGTGAAATAATTTGGTATTTGTCTTTCTCCGTCTGGCTTATTTCACTGAGCATAATACCCTCTAGCTCCATCCATGTTGTTGCAAATGGTAGGACTTGTTTTCTTCTTATGGCTGAATAATATTCCATTGTGTATATGTACCCCCTCTTCCTTATCCATTCATCTACTGATGGACACTTAGGTTGCTTCCATTTCTTGGCTATTGTAAATAGTGCTGCGATTAACATAGGGGTGCATATGTCTTTTTCAAACTGGGCTCCTGCATTCTTAGGGTAAATTCCTAGGAGTGGAATTCCCGGGTCAAATGATATTTCTATTTTTAGTTTTTTGAGGTACCTCCATGCTGCTTTCCACAATGGTTGAACTAGTTTACATTCCCACCAGCAGTGTAGGAGGGTTCCCTTTCTCCACATCCTCACCAACATTTGTTGTTTGTCTTTTGGCTGTTGGCCATCCTAACTGGTGTGAGGTGATATCTCATTGTGGTTTTAATTTGCATTTCTCTGATAATTAGCGATGTGGAGCATCTTTCCATGTGCCTGTTGACCATCTGAATTTCTTCTTTGGAGAAGTGTCTGTTCAGCTCCTCTGCCCATTTTTTAATTGTCTGCCTTTTCTTTTTAAGAGCATCCTAGCAACCCTGAAACAAGTTTTCACCTAAAAGACTCAACTTGCTGAAAGCTATTCTCAAGGAATAATTTTAGAATGTTTGTTTCTTATTTATCTTTTTATTT